ACTAGTCAAAACTTTTGCAGGTCAATTAACAGATCTCTTATAGAATTAGAATCAGGAATGAAAGCTCTTTATGACTATAAATGTAAACTTGAAACCAATAAGCAAACATACATATCTTCTTGATAAATCACTTTCATACACTTTCTTAATGTATTTAGCCCTTCTGGTCTTGTATATCTCTTTATCTTTCTAATAAGACAAACATACAAAATCCTTTTATATCAAAAGTATTTTTACTTATAGCTTTCTTAATATTTTTTCCTCTGTCTCATTTATTATAAAACTTCTATAACAAATTTCAGTTGTTAAAATTTTAAAGTGTCCTTTATTTCTGTTCTCAGATTGCTACATTTTAAAATTTGACTGGTTGCCAATAGAATAGTACTAACCTTGAGTTTTTATCAACAAAGTTCAGAAAAGAGCAAGGTAACACTATAATCACAATTCAAGAATTTGCAATGTACAAGAAAAAAATTTTTAAGTACATCAATTAAACATCAGTTCAAATGGAATCAAATAGTTAAAATTTGTAACTTGATTTCTTGTAAAATCTCTTGATGTCTGGTAAAGCACAGTTGCAGTTTCTCTGGCTTTGTTTTGGCATAAGGCTGATAACACAGTGCTGGCCTTTGGGCTACTCACATATATTTTCCTAGTCATTTGCAACAATTGAGTTATATTTATTTTTTCCAAGTTTCCTGTTTCTGTCCTTTCTTTCTGATATTGGCAGCATATTGAGTTAGAAAAGCAGTGTTCATTAGTTTGCCCCTGGGTGGTAACCTTGTTCCAAATCAGTCTTTTTCTTGCCTAGAGTTCCCTCTGGGGGCTAAGACTGGCTTAGCTGAGGCCATGATAACTCACAAAGCTTCCTGAGTGTCTTTGGTCTTAATTTTATCCCATTGTTGCCTGCAAATCCTTTTCAAAGTTTTGAATTCAAGAACAGTTGGTTTTGTATCTGCATTTCCCATGACCATATGATATTCCCTTGTCTGGTGATGCAGGACAAATAAAAGGTTGGGTGCTGCTTACAAAGGAATGACCATATGTTCATTCGCCTGGCTGTGGGGCCTCTCAGCTGCTCTTCTGGCCCATCCAAGCTAAGTAACACTGTAGAGTTAGTGATCCATTTTGTTTATATTAAATGCTGGCCATGGAATAAAAAAATAGGCCATACATAAGCTCCACAACTCAGGGAGGGATCTCTCCCTGTCCTCCCTTTGTCTTGGTGCACAGACGAGATTATCTGTTGTTTTCGTAGCTCATTCCATTCATTCTGTTTTACATACACAATCACATAAGAAGTTAACACATTCCCTCCTTGGGGCCCCTTACGAAGTATGGTAACACACTGATGGTATAGGTATCTGTGCATCACAGGCTGGGGCAAATGAAACCCTCACAAATGGCAAAGGATGGAGGATGATCAGATTTCCATTCTGTGTCTTGTCCAAAATTGAAGAGTCCAAAGTGAAAGCAAAACAAACTAGGGGTTGCCCAGGGAGTCTCATCATTCAGACAGATGATCCCTTTCATTCAGTTGCCCTCCTCCTACTGTCTCTGTTCTGGGTTCAAGCAATTCAACTGCTGATGAGCTGGCCTCTGAGTCTTAGAACGGGAACCCAGGAAATTCTGGGGGCGTGCCTCTTTCCTTCCAAGGAGGTGGATGGCTGTTCCCTCCAATGGGACCCTGGTTGAGGCCCAACATGGACCATGTCAGTTAACCCTTTCCCTCCTGGCCAATGCACCAAAATGATGTGGAATCAACTGGTAAATGACACACAGAGTGTGTAGAAGTGGGGGAAAAAAAAAACCCAAATCAAAAAACAAAACATTGCTTCAAAGGCTGTGCCAAATGATGGACCCTGGCTGACAATCTGTCTTTTATAGGAGTCTTACATTCATGATAGGTGATAAGACATTCTAGTTCCTATAGTTCCTATCACAAATCATGGTCAAAGACAGTACAATGTTAACCCAAAGGCAGCATTCTCTTTCAGGATGTTTATCTTTAGTTATTCCAGCCCATAAGAGTGGGGGTCAGAATTAGGAAAGCAGGACTGGTGATGTTCTTTTTATCTTAATTTTTTTATTTCAGACTATTTACAAAAGTTTTCCCTTTATCCTGACCTGGCCAGGTGCTCTGATAATTTCTACATTTAGATTAACTTTAATAATCTACTTTCTTGTTACTATTTTTTTATGGCCCTATAGTGTTGCTTGGTGAAGAAATAAGGCTTTGGGGCACTTTTCATATTTATGTGACTTTTATGAATGGGATTCACCTATAAGAGCCTTTTTTAGTTTCCTTTTGGATAGGCTATGTTGAATAAAATTATTGTGTATTTTTTTCTGTAATAGCAAAAAGAAAAAAATTTTTTTTTTTTTTTTTGGTACCAGTAATAGAACTCGGGACCAATAGAACTTGGGACCTTACACTTGTGAGGCAGGCGGCAGCATCACTGAGCTAAATCCCCATCCCAGCAAATATTTTTAAATGAATGACATAATCTCTGACCTACTTAATGATTTTCGTTGGTCATATTTATTTCTTTACAAATGCTTTCCATATAAAGGTATGATATGTATTCATTATGAGAGTATTTATTATATAGTGAAGAAAATTATAGAACTTTAGCTGAAAAGGATTTTACAGTTGTGTGATCTACCATATTTGTTTTTCTTTCTTTCTTTTTTTTTTTTGGTACTGGAGATTGAACTTGGGTCCTTGTGCTTATGAGGCAGGTGGCGGAATCACTGAGCTAAATCCCTGGCCCCTCAACTATATTTTCTTTATGGATGAGAGTATGGATGTCCAGAGAGATAAGCAGGCTTTACTAAAGTTACTGTGAAAAATCTCAGTGCCAGTATACTTGAGATTCATGATAAGAAAAGGCATTGTGAAGAGAGCAGAACAAGGAAGGCAAGATAACTTAATAAGAGTATAAATTCTCTTCATGTGTATGTTTGTTTATTTTTCTGGGTTTCTTATAAACATATCAGTCTTAGAGATTACCCAGCTAAAAAGAAAGGTCTGCATCCCATTCATAAATAGTGTGGCTGTGGGCCAGGGATTTAGCTCAGTGGCATCACTGACTGCCTTGTAAGCGCAAGGTCCTGAGTTCAATCCCCAATACTGCAAAAAAAAAAAAAGTATAATAGATAATGTGAAATAAGAAGAAAAGGGGCACAGGGGAAGGGGAAGGGGAAATGGACCAGGTATGGGAAAGGAAAGAACAGAATGGAATTAATAGGAGAAAGTGAAAACATGGAAATAAATAGTGTGGCTTGGGGAAATGGCTTGAATGTCATAATGAGCTAGAAGAAAGAGATCTGTTGAGCACTACAATGTGCTATAAACTTTCACACAAATTATTTCAAAGATAATGTGGCAGAGAGAGTGAAATTTCAACTTGATTGGCTTTGGGATCTACCCCAGGGATTGATGGAGCATATTAGCTGTGTGGATAGATGATGGAGGTCCAAGCCATGTCCCTTGCCCCTTCTGCTATCGTACTGTTGTGCTTTTCTTCCTGGCTCTCATGAAATAAGCAATTTTGCTCCAACATATCCTTCCAGCCTGATTCCTCCGCTTTATAGCCAGCCAATTATGGACTGAAACTGTGAGCAAATTCAGCCTGTTCTCCTTTAATCTGTGGGTATCAGATATAGTGTCTCAGTCATTTCATTGATTTCAATATCTCTGCCAGAGGATACTAAGAAAGAAAATCTATAGGACCCAAGTTATTTAGAAGTTGTTCTGGTAGAATAGGATTCTGGAAGGAAGTCAGTTTAGTAGCCTAAAGAAAAAGTTTAGGTTCCATATAGACGCCACTTGTGCCAGTATCTGTGTGATCTTATGGACTCAATGTGTGTATCCTCTTTGGAGAAATAAGTACCAGCAGCAGAGAATTTAGAATTAACATCTCTATACAAAGAGTAACATGAAAATTATGGTTGTTCTAATATATACTTTGGTGAATTGTAAATTTTAATGTTGGTCATGTTTAGGTCTTTTTAAAACAATTTTTGTCCCTAAAAGAATGATGTCCTTAATCATTCTTTTTCAGAATGATTAAATTAGGATATTTTTCAGAATTAAATATTAATGATAAAGATATTTTTGGTTTGTGTTTTTAACTTTATAACTAAGAATGAATACAGTAAAAACCTCCCTATTAATGGTATCTTTTTATTCCCGTCCAATTATTTGTGCACTACTAAGAATGCAGGATATCAGTATGAAGTAAAAAGTAATATGGCGTACACATCTTTAGCAAAACATTGAATATACATATTATTTTCATTTCATTGACAGGATTTAACTAAAAGTATGAAAGGAATCTAAATCTAAACAAATAGGTAATTTGATAATTAAAAAATGAAACCTGGGGCCGGGGATTTAGCTCAATGGTGCCACTACCTGCCTTGCAAGTACAAGGTCCTGAGTTTGTCCTGAAAAAAAAAAAAAAAAAAAAAAAAAAAAAAAAGAAACCAGTTATTTTAACTTTTTTTCTTCTCTGGATTATAATTCAATTCTGTGTAGGGCTTCATATATAAAATGTTTCTGATGACTGAAAACATTCTTGTTTCTTCAAATTGAAGTAAAATTTACATACATTTGCTTGAAGTAAAGATTGCATACATATTTTGTTACAAAGTGAGATTACTTTATGAAAGATTACATTGAAAAACAAACCTGTAATGCCAGCACTTTTTGAAGTTGAGGCAGGAGGATTACAAATGTGAGCCCAGCCTGGACAACTTGGTGAGAGCCTGTCTCTGAATAAATAACTAAATAAAATATTTTAAAAATTGGGTATATAGCTAAGTATAGAGGTCATGGATTCAGTCCGCAGTACCTCAAAACAAGCAAAACACAGAATCGCCCTAAAGAAATTCTAGCACATCTGTGAATGTTGGTAAACTGTGGCTTTAGGAACATATTTTTATTCTGATGGGCATTTTTTTTCTCCTCTACTTCATTTGAATATTTCTTTTAGAGTAAGTGAAGAAAAGGAAGTGACAGAAGAACGACTGAAAGCTGAGCAGGAATCATTTGAAAAGAAGATTAGGCAGTTGGAAGAACAGAATGAACTGATCATCAAAGAAAGGGAAGATATCCTTTTTGAAAACTCTCTTTTTTAATGTGCAGAAAGTTTGACTTTTTCATGCATAAAATGTAAATTCCAGAGAAATAATTGTTCTAATTTATAACGGGGACTAAATCTGCATGTGCTGCCATTTCTAGGCAATCAGAGAGACACTTAACAGCATGTGCTGTTGCTTCCTTTGTGCTTGATAAGGCCACCCAGCTGTTCTACTGCTGCTGTTATGCTGCAAAGCACATATTTGTCAACTAAAAAAGACAATAAGAAATTTGGGAATTAAAATGTAGTGTTGGAACTTTATTAAATTCCATTCCAGTACTGTAATTGAGCCTGAACCTACTTGCATTTGGTATTCTTTGTAGCTAAAGCTTTGACAATCTGAAGAAATTCTACTCTGAAACCATAAAAATAAAAATTTTCTTTGTAATATATAAACATTGTAATTGATAAGTGTTTACATTGCAGCATAAAACTACCAAACTCATGGAAGAGAAAACTATTGAGTTTAGAACTACAAGTGTTTATGTGTGTGTATACATACATTACATTATTTATATGAAAGTAAAAACATATTTAACTTAAAAGTTATACTTAATGAGATATGTGAGTTAAAATGAGCATATTTTTGGTTTAAGTAGGTAGAATTAATTTTCCTTGGATGTTTTATGCAGAGGCATTGCATAAAAGAGAAATGACTGTCCCTAAAGTTAGGGTGACTGATCTGCCAGCTAACCTGGCATATGAATGCTAGAAAGAACCACTTGCCTTGGGTAGTATGATCATTAACTTGATTGTTAGATATTATTTCAATGATTCTGAAAGTGTCAAAAATGATCATACATCAGCAGTAGCTATGCCTTTGTGAATATTAGAGAAATAGAAGCTTAAGCATAGATTAATTAGCTTATAAAGTACAAAACTGTAACCATAAAAAATGAGTTCTGAACTTCCATTTTTCAAATAGTGGGAGTGTTTGATAGAAAATTAATATAATTGGAATTCTTAGACTCGATTTGCTGACCAGAACATTAATAACACTTATTTAACCCAAAGTTCTAAAGGAGTTTCCCTTTTCTCTGCCTAGGTTGCTCTGCCTTAATTGTCATGGGTTGTCACTTTCAGGCCAGTCTGATTTTCTTCCATCTAATTTTCTCTCCAGGTTTAGAGAAATGCTGTTTAGTCAGAATTAACAATACACTTCACCTAGCATTTTCAAGAAATGGTAAATCAAGAATGCTTTTTTGTGCTTGCCTGAATTCAGTTGGTACTAAATAAATAAATAAACAAACAAGTAAATAAATGAATGCTTTCTGGGGGTGCAACAAAAATTCAGTTTACAGGGCCTTTTTTCCCACATAAGAACTCTGTAGATAGATAGCTTCTGGCATTAATTTGATGGCTTAAAGTTTTCAGTGTTGGCATCTGTGCAGTTCCCCTACCTTTTTTTCTAATGGTTGCTCCCATTCTAGGTGTCATACAGAGGTGATCAAAATACATGGTAAATGTTTAAAATTTAAAAAAAAAATTGTACAGTAGAAGTCACATTGCCGTTAATCCCCCACACAGTTCTCTCTGTCACTTTAATCATACTTAGCCCATCACTCTTGCCACTTTTTAAAGTGGATCCTATTTCATATTTTTATGAAATGTGATAAAAAAATATAGTGAATACTCTTGCCATATGTGCCAGCCATTGGAAAGTAAGGCATAAAAACTTTATGGTGTGTCTTCATCTACCTTATTTACTGGATCTGACACCATGCAACTTCTGGCTCTTCCTCAACGTCAACATGACCATCAGACATAAGCATTTTGAATCAATTCAGAACATTGAGGCTGCCATGACAGTACAACCAAAGATACAAAAGAGGACTTGTAGAAGAGCTTCAGACCTGCAAGAACAATGGAGTGTGTGTTTGAAGCGAGGGAAAATATTTTGAGGAAGATTAACCATATGTCTTTACTGTGATAAATTTTTAAAATTTAAACATTCACTGTATATTTTGATCATACCTCATATTTGTGTTGAGACAGGAAGAAAAGGTGGGAGAGGTCCTGACAATTGTGACTTTTTTTTTGAAAAACATAAAAACTTCTTCAGAACATCGTCTACCTTCCCTCTTCCCCAGCTGGTAGTCTTTCATATGATGCTTACTGTCCTGAACTTTATTCTATATCAATGTAAGCTTATAAAAAGGTTGAGAGAGTAAGTGTGTTGCTTGTCCAATTTACATAGTGGGAGGTGCAAGGGAAAGGTGATCAGAAATGAAGTCAACCTCCAACTCTTATTGCAGAAGTAGGGAAAATAGAGTTCACTTTTTATATGGAAAGGAGGTGCTGATACTTAGACTTTCTTAGGATAAAAAATATGTATAGCATTCAGTGGAACTGAGGTAAGTTGGGGAAAGAAGGTGAGAGATTAATAGATAATTTAGAAAGCTTGCCTATAATTAGAGTCTGGTGATATACTTCAAGAAAATTGTATAGCTATTTGGAAAGGTAGATACTAATTTCAGTGGACTGTGATATATAGCACTTACGAGTCAAGATTAATGCCTTCTAAGTGCTGAAGCTGACTAAAGTCAACATAACTGTGAATGGTTTCTTCTGGCAGGATCAGTGTTAAGAAACACCAGTGATTGTAGTGACATTGTTTTGTATATTTTCTTCATGATTTAGCTCCAGAGTCAACCCACTGCTGTGGTGGGCTGTATCAGTACAGTGCCCACTAAATCTTCTGCCACCTCATTCTTCTGTATTGTCTAAAGCTGATCTTGTGCAATTACTGTACACAAGTACAGTAATGGCAAAAAAAACCCTGTGACTCTCCTAGCCTAAAATGCCTAGTGTCTGACCCTCCACACAAAACGTTTGCTGACCCTTGATCTCTCTTCTGAGTGAAAAAGGAAAGAAAAAGGTTGTGATAAAGTCAAAGGCTTATATATGTGGAGTAGTTAGGACCTATTTTACACATGGGAAGAAAGGAGTTGGCTTGATCTTTTATTCTTTATTGTGAATAGGATTGAAATAAATGTTATACTACTACCAAAAATTAAAATTGTTTAATTGATATAATTCCTTTAATTGACACTACCAAAGATAGGTAATATTTGTAGAATTTTATTGTCAAAAAAGGAAAATAAATGATTTAAAAGAAGATATATCCCTGGTTTTCTTTCCAAGTTAGATTGCTAAGGTACAAATCTCCTTTACCAGAATAAACCTGTCAAAGGTTAATACAGATGATTTTGCAGTACATAAAATTCTATAAAACTTAGAAACATAAAATGAGGTTGTAATTTAAAACAATATAATTTTAACTACAAATACATTTGCCTATCATAGATGAATGATTCAGACTCTTTCATATACATGAAATCAGATAATTTCAGCTCATTTTAAAATCTATTTTAGTTTGAGGAAGTATATTCATGAATTGTAATTTTTGGCATTTTAAAGATGTGTTAATAATTTATGGTTTTCTTGTTTTTAAAGTTCTAATAACTTGATTAATTAATCAGCTCTACAAACAGTCCAGTGCTTTAGTGAAAAATAAATGTTACATGTTTGCATCAGTCTTTTGAAGGATTTATTCTTAGAGAAAATTGGGAGTTTATTAAAACATAAAAATTCTGAGTAATTTTCAATTTTTTGAAAAAGAAAGCTTATTCTTAAGATTTTAATCATGTAAATGAATATGCAATTTACAAAGCTAAGCAGTCCAATAAACCTAGTAGATTTTTGCCTGGCTGAATTAGTATGAAAAGAGAGATAAAAGTGATACTTAAGATATATCCAATAATGATAATTCTGAAACATTTTAGCATATAGTGGCATAAGACAGAGGATGTAGCCTTTAGAAAAGTTGATTAATATTTTACTAGTTATATTTCTAGACATGATACAGATCAATGGTATCAAAGTGTACAAAAGGAAGGGAAAGTCTAAGATTTTTGACCTGACAGTTTTAACTGGCACTTCAAGGAAAGTAACAGTGGAGAAAGCACAGTGGACTTCAAAGTCAAAATCCTGTTTCTGCACTGACTAGCCTCTTGGGAAAGTTACTGAACTTCCCTGAGTCTCTTTTTATATCTGTCATATTCAGATAATACTTTTTTTTTTTTTTTTTTTGCTGGCTTGTTGAAATTTTAAAGAATCATAAAGAATCTAGCAATGTCTTCTACTTAGGGGATACTGAATAAAAGGCAGCATTTCTCATTTTGAGTACTATTAAAATGGATGCAGGATGAGATGACTGACCCTTTTACATTTTGTGCTTTTCTTCTCTAGGATTTTGATGGTTTTAATTAGGTTACAAGTGAGTGGGCTGTTTAGAGAACTCCCAGGAATGTGAAACTTACTTGTTCACTGCTATATCTTCTAAGCAAGCTGTAATGAAGAGGGAAATATCTGTACCACTTGCACCTCCTGTGCTCCTTAGGAGGAAACTGAGTTTTAATTTCCTCTCCCAGAACCCAGACTGATGGAGATGCGTGACTTTTTTATTCTCCTCTGGTTTGTTTCCTTTTCTCTCTGGCTGAGATTTGGTAAACAGTAGGTTTAGAGATACTTGGAGAGCACATCTTGGTATGGGTGATCTTTCTCAAAACCTTGTTCTAAGAAGAAAGAATTATGAAGGAATGAACCTTTAGAATCAACCAAAGATCTCAGTGGGTTTGTGCTAAAAGTAGATTAGTGAAAATTCACAAGAATTTTATCTAATTATATGAAAACAGTCATTGGTTACAACAGTAATATGTCAGGTATTTATATTTTTCTATTTAACTATATATCTCATTTCTTCTGTAGGAGCCATCATCATCATTAGATTTTTTTTTTATTAAGGATAAGAACTATATTATGGGAATGGTATAGTGATATAAGAGGAAGGGGAAGCATAGTCGAAATAAAATTTCATACGAAGCACACTGTTTAAAGAGAAAGGGTAACTCTTCTTTTTATTAATCTAGCTGGCCCTATATAAGACAAGGTAGGACATTTTCTAGTC